TTATACGCATATGGACCAACGAAAGTAATATTTTCATGAATTAACATATCCGACATTTTTCTCAGTGAATTAACATAATATAAGAGTACTGTAAAAGTATATTAAAATGGAAAATTTTGTTTCATAAATGAATTTGTGGTTGACAATTTAGAATAAATCAGATATAATTATTACTAATTTCACTTCTTTTTATTTGGCGAGATGTTTGCAATTTGTGAATGAAAATTGATTACATGTTTTTCTTTGGTGTAAGTTTTACTAAAATCGTAATGTAATTTATTGCACTGAATGATTTACTATAATCGGTTACTTGAAGATTGTTTTCATAAACTACAATGGCTTATAAAAGTATTGGCACATTTTTTTAAAGGAATAATTTTTTTAATATGAAATCAAATATCATAATTTTTTGTGGGAGCCTACCATAAAATGCTTAGTTTACTACGTAATGAGCAAAAAAATTAGTTCATAATTTTTATTGGTCGGAATTGCGAAGAAAAAAAATGAACGTTTCGTGTTTTAACTTTTTTATTGCGATCTCCAACAAAAATTTAGAATATCCCGTCTGTAGTATGTTTAATATAAATAAGTTATATGTATATATGTACAAAGATTAATTAAAATCGGTTAATATTGTTCTAAGCTATAAACGATAAGAAATTTCAAAAATTTCAATTTGTCATAACTTTCGGTCTAAAACTGTGATAGATTCAAGAATTTTTACATTTTTTTATGTGTCCAACTTTTTCATGTTGTCGTCGATGTTTATGTAACTTCGTATATATGTACAATTTGCTTAAGTCTACAAACGGGATGTTCCAAATGTTTGTTAGAAACCTCAATAAAAAAGTTAAAATCGCAACGTTCACATTTTTTCGCAATTTCGACCAACAAAAATTGTGCTCATTACGTAGTACACTAAATTTCTAGGATCTCACAAAAAATTCTGTTCTTTAGTTTGATATTGATAAATTATTCTGTTTTAAATGTGTGCTAATCCTTTTTTGAGCCATTGTATACTCTGATTTACTTGTTAGTAGCATTATTAGCATTTTATCAAAATTTGTTGAAGCTAAACACATTTAAATGTATTTTAAGAGGTATGAACAGGGGTCTACATCCACAATTAACGATTATTTCGTGATTAGATCAGACTTAAACATTCGTTAACGTGTAGTCTCGACAGAATAAAGACATGAAAATGATAAAAATGTTACAATATTCAAATTCAGAAAAGGTCGTTCATGCAATTGATATGTGATAAGAGAATGGCAGTCTTTTTTAGAAAAATTGTAACAGTTATAAATTTTGTAAAATTAATTCGTTTTATCAAGTGCTTGTTGGCAGTAAAGGTTTTAACATTTCATGTTACACTATGTGTTCATTGAGTATTGATGAGTACTGCGGACTTTATGCATTTATAAGAAATTTAGTTATGTGAAAATAATACACATAATATGCAGTGTCGACAGACAAATGTATATTATAATATTTAAAGAATGAACAAAATGTTCTCATTTTTTAAATGGATTTTTCATAAAAATCCGCAGTTTAATGAGCAATGCAAGGATCGAGTTGAATGGAAAACGCTCAGTGATTCACTTTATACTGTCATATTTATAATGGGAAAGTCGTTGACTTCGTGGTCCAATTAAAGCGCGTTTTCCACTGGCCGCCGCCGCCGGCACGGACAGGCAGGGCCGCAACGTTAAGTTTCAGCGTTTACACGCTCTTTCCTATACCTCGCAACTTAACGTTTCGGCCCTGCCTGTCCGTGCCGGCGTCGGCCAGTGGGAAACGCACTTAAACCGGCATCGGATTCCAGACACCAAAATGCATTATTTCGATAGTTTAAGAGCGGTTAATTGTGCTTGTAGAACGAAATGTTTCTAAACTGGATATTCTGCGAAGTCATATAATTGGAATCCGGCTTTTCAGGTTGATGCAATTTTAAGATGAGGATTGCAGATTTTCATGCAAAATGCATTTATATTAGTAAATCAGAAAACGAAATCTCAATCGGAATATCATCATTTAAAAATGACAGTATTTTTAATCGTGTCTATAACTTTGGACACTATATTCATTTTTTTACATTTTCTGTGAATACTTCATAATTTTATTTATTACTTATTTTAGAAAACAATTTTTCCATGAATGCGTAAAATGCATTTCAAAATCAATATCGAGTTTTCCTTAATTATTCGTTTCGAAAATCATTCATTAAATAATGTCGCCACAGTTTTAGTAATGATTTGAGGAATTAAATGTTGAGAAGATTTTCGATAAAGATTTTTATCATATCGCGTAATGGCAAATGGATTTAAATTTTGATTCGTCACAAAGAGATCTCGTGAATGACATGGATCAAAATGGATGCTATTATACACCGAATTCCAATCTGGACTTAAACTTTTGCTAGATCATAATGAATAGCCGGATTCTGAAAAGGGTGAATTACGAAAGATACTTCGGCTGCGACTCGCTTTCTGTCGATCGATTAAGCAAACAAAGATTACTATTTAGACCTACGACGCACTTTATACTTTCCTAACTCCTGATTTTCTGTCATGTACAGTCTGACTTACAATAAAAACATGAATAAGTTCGCACGAATAATTCCTTTTGAACAAGTAAGAAAAACAGACGAGAATAAGGTTTTCTCGTTTCTCTATTTGTACACAGTACCGGTATCTTGTCATAACCCTGTGTAAAGATACTGTGGATTTTATCCATTTAGAAAAAAAAAGTGAGTAAGAGAAAACATAAATGCTCTATATGATACATAAAGCTGTGTAAAATATCAGAATTCAGTACATATCGCAGTGCCTAAACGACGAAAGAAAATTTCTAATTTATTTTAACTGATATGAATGTTTCATTTTGTATGGAAATCTGCAGTTTGTATATAAATAGCCATTCTTCGTTTCGCTTCTCTTCCGATTTTTAAAACAGTTTTTATTTTGGAGTAGGCTGTGGATTTATACAAAAAACATAAACAATAAATATAGTAGTCATAAGGCATTAAAAGTAAAATGCTTATCATGATATATCTAAAGAATAAAAGAAACTTCTTTTTAAATTTCGTTTCTTTATATAGTACTAGAAAATTTTTCCTCTGCACGGAAGACCACAGTTTAATTATAAAAATTGTAGCCAGTTAATGAATCCCATGAAAATGCAGATTTGTTATATACCGAGCGTAAACGTTCCTAATTATCGAGCTCCAAAATTAATAAATCATCATATTGCTTTTTGAACAAAAGAGATTGAAGTGGTATAAAAAACTTTTAATTAGCTTACTTTTATTAAATTAAGTGAATTTCATCTTTCATACGATTGACGATACAATGTTAAAATTTAATGGAACGAATTTCATTTTCCATTGCATGTCTCCCATTATCGTTAGCGATTTCTTTTAATATCAGGAGCGTGGCGGCCATATATTGTGTCATAAATAGACTGCGGATTTGTATACAAAGAGATTTCTTGTACGCTTCAAAAATAATTATACGTGCATGTAATTATATTCTTAATATTCTGTACCTCTAATGCATTCTGTTTATTTTCTGTGCACTTGTTTTATGAATGCATAAAATCCGCAGTCTAGTGGAAAAAGAATCCGCAGTATGATATTCGAAATTTTGTCTCATCAAGACGTAAGAAAAACGAAGATCGAAAAGGACGATTGTCGCCGAAACGAATGAAATCTAGATTTGTTAGAAAATACGATTGAGTTTGGAAAGATCTTACGTAGCTAGCTTATCGAGAGTCCTTTATTCAATGTTTTTGCTTAATTCCCCGTGCGAGAGGCCGCGAGTTGTCGCGGTTCATCGCAGACGCATCGCAGGCGTAGAGGACCGGGTAGTACCAGGTCATCCTATAAGTTCGTGTCGCTTTTTGTTTTATTAGATTATACCAAAAATTTCTTTTGTTTTATTAAGAAATAAAGTACAATATTTTGTTATAATATGTTATTGAATTAAGTACGATTCATTGTTCTTAAACTTGTGTAATCAACATATGTGTAAATATAATGTTATAAAAAGAAATGTAATCTCGATCCAAAATTTCTTTCCATTTTATATGTATATCAAGTCTACATTATGTCATCTATATGTAACCATTAAATTATGCAAGAAATATAAAAATTTCGACGACACGAGATTATCAGATGACTTACGATTACTTTTAAATTGGCAAACCGAACGCTATCTTCGATTATTGGTCTTTAGCCACAGAAATTCGGCCCCAGTGTCGATGGTAACGAGTGTTTTTTTCGAAATAACCGTCGAGCTGCAACGATCCAACCATTTTTTACATAACAACGATACGTAACGCATTGCATATTGCTTGATTCACACTAGCAATCGTGGTATATGGATCCATAGATCATGTCAAGTCAAGTGATTAAAATCATTTACACCATAATCTACACGTTGTGATTGTTCTTTACTGTTAGATGTGAATGTCTTGATAGAATCTTAGAATTGTGACTGATTGAGATCTTGATAGAATCTTAGTAATTGATTGATGCAATCTTAGATTGAGATCTGACCAATGACACTAATGTGAATTAAGCTTAAACGAGCTCGGCTCTCGGCCTTTCATCTTGCATTCGTTCGTTCGGTATACGTATACATCGCATCTGGTGAACGGTCTGAATATAATTCCTCCCTTTGTACCTCTGGCCTCCTCGGCTTTGTGCCGTTGCTTGTTCCGTTCTCTTTATCCGTCTCAATTTCCGACCCCCGCGGTTGCGGCTGCCTCGAGCTTAATTGTTTCTCAACGGGTTCTTCCCCGAGCCAGCGTACCCAGCGCCGCTTTCGTCGTCGAAACTTCGTATCACCTCGTGTCACCCATACGCGATTTCACGTCGAAGACTCATATTTGGAACTTTTCATGAAGCACAATCCTCGCACTTTACACGGAAGACAATCTTCCGTACAACTCTCAACGTGTATCATATATATATATATATATATATATGACCATTATATTGTGTCACGCCATTCGTCAATCAGTTTGTTACGTCACTGCGAGGATGCGCGAACTCTGCCGGAGAGCGATAGCAACCGCGATTGGATATTACGGCGGAAGTCGTAGTTTCTATTTTTCTTGTTATTTCATTCACCGTCCGTCCGCACGAACGAAAGGAAGCTACGTTTCGTGGCGAAACGATTAGTAAAGGAGCAGACACAGGCAGAGGAGAAGAGAGTAGAGCCTCGGTTGCCTCGCTTGACCGCCGTGCTGCATTGCTGCAGGATACTCTCCTGAAACAAAGGACGCCACTTAAATTTTCTGAAGCCACTGGAAATGATAACGATAATTAAACTCGTTTATAGAAAATTTAACTAAACCCCCGAGTTAATCCGCCCATGTCACGAACTTCTGTGTTAATTGAAGAGCAGATTGTCAAAAACAAGAAACGGAATTCAATTTTATGATTTAATCGAAGCAAACTTGCTGCCATTATAAATATTTTATTTAGAACGATGAATAATTTATTCAATACGTGTATGTATATGCATATGCGTATGTACCAAAATTATATGAAGTACATGCACAGTGCACACATGTGAAAATTAGAGACGTTTTTCTCTTAATAAAAAGACACATTATTACGAACACTTCAATTAATCTTTAATAATATTGGGAATGAGATAAATCTGTGTGAAGCATTAAGCGTAATTATAGAAACATGTAATGACAATAGATGTCATTCAAACGCGGAGCTTGGACCTCGCGACACAGAGAGACGGTCGAAGTTGGAGGAGTTCCAGGGCACGCCTTAATTTCATCTAGTCGAGCTAATTACGATGGCAAACTGGCTTTGTTACCGCGAAAACCGTCGAGCCACAGTGTTGACATTCGCATAGATTCTCTCGCATACGTATGCATGGCTCTATACATTTTGCCCGTTTCAATTGCGTACCGGTATGCTATATGTATGTCCTGACTACGTATGTGCAAACGTCAAAGTGTGCAAACTCCTCGAACATGTTGGTATTTTGCAATGAGAATTCTGTTAACCTCCCCAATGAAGGGGATTCGTTAATTAAACGTGTGTGTCGAAGGCAGAGCTTCCGTTTTCGCTCTTAGATCCAAACCCCCTCCCCTTCCACCGACCATCCCACGCCTTTCGACCGACTTCCATCAATTTTAAATTAATATTTAGAAAAGGTTCCCGGCGTTATTAATGCCGATAAAACGAATTCCACGGTTGAGCAAACCAGGCAAGCTTTTTATTAATTTCTATCAGCTTTGGGATTCAGTAATGAACGAAGAAAAGCGCCTTTTTTCTTTCATTTCGCCAGTGAGAACGAGCCTCAATTAAGTCGGAATCGCTCACCATTGAGTACGTGAACGGTGATTGATTTTGATTGAGCGTTGCTTGGATTACAGGTGTACCGGCCGGAGTCCGACGGCTTCGCTTCCTGCACCAGCAGGAAACTCCTGGTTGTGTCCCCTTTTTCCGTGACCACCGACACGCCGCCTCTGGTCGGGTCGTAGGTGATTATCTGTAACAAAATTCAGAAGACCGTGTCGAGTAGAGTGATATAAAAGTGAAATATACTGTTGAGTTAAGAAAATGAAGTAGATAGTAGGCAAGTGTATGTAATTATCAAGGGGCGCGGTAGCGGCCCGAAGGCAAGTTTGAGGCCCGTCAGGGGGCAGCATTGCCGTCGGACACCGCGTACCTTATTTTTACACGTAAATTCGACATTTTGAATTTCTTTCGTGAATATTAATTGTTTCCTCTGTACTTTCTTAATGCTTTAATGTCACAAAACACTTTTTGTACACTACTTTACAATGTGTAACAAGTATTATTTTTCAGAAGTCACTAGTTGGTTCGATATCAAAATCTTTTCTCTTTCGTCTCCCCTATTTCTTTTTACCATGAAGTTAGCTCAATACCTAAATGTGTGTGACCAACATATAAAATTTTTTAATACTTCATACGC